ACAAGAGGAGAAGCTGTCCATTTCTCACTCAATAGACTCAGTTTTTGACTTACTAATTGACTGACAGACGTCTGCACCAATCAATTCAAAGCTTTAACATTCCCTCCCCCACCTGGGGGAACCCATGGGCATTTGACTGTCATCTTTGTCTGGTGGATAGGAATTTGAACTTTGCATGGCTGGGCTGGGGAATTTGAACCAAAAATGGTAGTTATTTCTTGCAGAATACAAGTGTTGTCTTTAAATATGGAGGTGTTTAAAGGTAATTAGTTCACTTTTGTGAGTGATTGTCTCAGAAGAATTAAACATCCCTTAGGTGATGGTTTTGAAGCTTGGTCAAGGTGTAGAAAGTGATGCTCACTGATATTTCTTTTTCTGAGAGGCATTTGAACATACAAATTTAAACCAGCCAATCTTGAAAACTCCAAATGCCTGGAGGGTTTCCTGGGGGGATGCTGATGCTTTAAATTGATTGACACATGTAGCAACTTGCATATTAACTTGTGGCTTTAATGACCAACTTGCTGAATGATGCACACTCTAACATACTGGCTACAGACTTCCTGACCAGTAAATGTACTGAATGACTGATTCTCTAACATTGATAGACTTGCCAATTTGTTCCCTGTCTCACCGACTGGTGAACTGACTAATTGACCAACCAGAAAAAAATAGCTCACAAACTAATTGAATAACCCATGCAATAAATCATAGACGACTTGCTGACTGATTAACTCTTTGACTAAGTAAATTAGTAACTAACTAATTGATTGCTTCATTGACTGAATTGCAGTCTCTAAATTTAGTGACAATATAACTTGCTGATGAAATGACTTATTAATCACTACAGATGGCTGAGTGGCTGATGACTTCCCTATCAATATCTAATCATATAACTTTTCCACTGATTAACTTACTAATTTCAACTGGATCTTTTGACTGTCCACAGACAGACTAAAAGCTGCCCATCTGCATTGTATCACCCAACAGACCAGCTGTCAAACATGTGGCTCAAGGGGACTGACTGACTGAGTGACTTATCTACATGTATATCAACTGATTAACAATTTATATATATATCTTATTAACCAAGCGTGAAGGCCATACTGGGAGAATATTGGCCGGAGGTCTTGACAGTACGGACCGAGCGCAGCAAGGTCCCTACAAAAAAGACTGAGGGCCGATATTCTTCCAGTACGGTCCAGAGCAAGCTTGGTTAATAAGAGATTTATTATATGACTGAAGTTCAAAGGGACACAAGTGCGGTATCATTCGGGACCATTCGGGACAGTGCCCGGTCCATTACTGAGAGAATATTGACCGGCAATAGAGCATTTTGATTGGTTGATTTTAGTTATTGGCCCTCTGACTGCCCGAGTCGTCATAGCAAACCTGAATGTCCCCCCCTACACTCATTTGAAAAAAGGTTTTAAATCAAATAGTTGAATTGAGAGCTATCATAAA